ATTCTACATCCCCTACCACCAAAACCATATTTGTAACAAAACCCTAGCCTTAAAAACACAGATCTTTTTCCACCAACATTTACCTCAGCCTCCCTCCGCTGTCATCCTCCATCATCACATCATCATCATCTTTTATATTTTAGATGATAGAACCGCTATCTTATTTTCCTCAATGTATCATAGAAAATTTCAACAATGTATCATCAAAAAGCTCGATCACCATGAACGAATCAACTGTATGAGTGAAAGGGGATGATTGAAAGCCTTTATCTTTTCAAATAGCCACACTATATTCACTGAAATCAATATAGGTTTTCAAGATCATTTTCAACACCTTGCTTCTAGTGTTTGATGGAGTATCATACCATAACCTTATTTCTTAGTTGAAGAAAAAGAAAAGTAGCAATAAATTGGGTGGGTTGTAGTTGCATAATTGCCAATGGTTTTATCAGAAATGACATCTTCCATATTTCTCCTTCTTTCATAATTAATTTTTGTAATCAACTATATAATAGCATCTTCATCGACATTCAACTTCATTTTATGCAACTCCTCCTACAAAATATGAAGTTAAACTTACTATTATCTAGATATCATATTACAGAAAATGATTTTGGAAGGAGGATAGATATGGAAGATGTCATTTCTGTAAAAACCACCCGAGGATAAAGAACGGCAACCAACCCAATTTGTTGCGACCTTTCTTGTTAAACCGAGAAACAAGGTTATTATATGATACTCTATCATTAAAAGAGGAACACTAGAAAAAAGGTGGTGGAAAGGATTTTAAAAACTTAAATTGATTTGAAAGATATTTTTATATTCGTTATTTGAAAGTATATAATCTTCCAACCACCCTTTCTCAGTATTGTATGATCGAGACTGTTGTGGAGGGATTCTTTTGACAAATCATATGATAGGTGATAGATCCATAATAATATGGGATTTTTACCATCTAGAATGTGAATGATGGTGCGGAAGTGATGATGGAGGTTGATGGTGGAAGTAGGCAAGGATAGATGGTGAAACAAGATTTGGATTTTTATTAGGGGTTAGGGTTTCAATAGTAGATATAATAGTGGTAGTGGAAAAGGAGATTTGGAATGTGTTTACCAAAATATAGAAGTGGCATATGAGATATTGGCAGACATGGACAATTATGGAGGTGAACAATAGTGGCATAATTAAGGAATGTGTTCATTCATGTGGGTGTGGGTGTTCCTTAGAAAGTATTATGTGTTCTAGAGATTATGTGCTTGTTGTGTGTTTTAAAGAGAGATACGGTGCTATAACAGAAAATATGTGGTACAAAGGTTCTAGCTGGTAGTGTCAATAATCCTTTCACGTAAGCTCTAAATCCCTTCATTTTTTTTTGGTTTGAGTTCCACCACTGGCCATCATGGCCACCACCAGCTACCATACAATGGTAGAAATGAGCCAAAGCCTAAATATTAGACAATAATTGTGTTGTATTTATTGTATGTTTGTTTAACATTCAAGGTTATAAAGTGTAAGTTTTATAACTTATATATTCTCAGCCTCTCCACCACAATTGGGAGTGAAGAGTTTTTGTTCTCTTGGTATCAGAGCACATTTAAACTCCACCTTTTTCTATTCTTCTTACCTGTCATTCGTCCCTTCCTTCCGTGGTTTCGATTACTTTTCTATTCAACCTTTTCTTCTTCCAGTGTCTTCCTTATTTTCCGATTCAACCCTACCTGCCGATTCCACCCTACCTATGAACATTGTTTCACATCTGATCACAAATCATCTGTTTTCTTCTAACTACTTGTTGTGGAAAAACCAAATGCTCCCTCTCCTCTCTTATCAAAACTTGTTGGGGGCATGTTGATGGCTCTTCTTCTACGCCCCCACCTGAACTTCTTGTTAACGAAAAATCTACTCCAAATCCGGAATTTGCGTCATGGCTCTCAGCTGATGAGCGGGAAATTATTCTTCTCCAGGCCTCCTTGACTGAAGAAGCTTTTGTAGAAATTGTTGGTTGCTCTACTGCCCACCAAATATGGGTCTCTCATAAGGAAGCTTACAGCCACTCTTCTATCGAACGTGTTCAAACTTTGCGGGACCAACTTCATCAAATTTTCAAAGGATCATCCTCTGTTGCTGAGTTTGGACGTCGATTTTGGAATATCTGAGATCAACTCTCGGCTGTTGGTCATCCGGTCATGGAAACGAACATAGTCCACTGGTTCCTATGTGGTCTTGGTTCGTCTTTCGAGACTTTTTCTACTGCAATTTGCGCCTCTCGTTCTGCAACTACTCTTCGAGATCTTGCACAAGCCGAAGCCCATGAATTATTTATGCGCTCCCTTCACGAGACCGCCTCTCCACTAGCAGCTTTTTCGACTCACATAGGGCCACCCGTTTCTTCTCGTGGATGTGGTGGTCGTGTTTTTCGGGGTGGTCGTGGTCGTCGCCCTCCCCATTGTCAGTTGTGTCGCAAAGAAGGACACTATGGTAGTGCATGCCCGCTACTTTCTTTGCATGCCACTCATAAAACTGGCTCAGATACGGATTTGGCTAAGGCGTTTCATGCTCAATGTCATGTTACAACCAATGCTCCGGATTGGTATGTTGATTCTGGCGCTACCGATCATATGGCCTCTTCCTCGAGTTCGGTAACCCAACCTACTGCATATGTTGGGAACTCAAAGGTCTCTTTTGGGGATGGTAATGTTCTCCCCATATCACATATTGGTCAACATAGTCTCAGTGGTTGTATCCGCTTGCGTGATGTTTTGGTGGTTCCAAAAATCACTAAAAACTTATTATCGATTAGTAAATTAATAACTTACAATATGATGGATGTTTTGTTTTCCCACCTGCATTTTTATATTCAGGATCGAGCAACGAAGCGGGTTCTAGTGCAGGGCCGATGTGAGCATGGACTTTATCTTCTCTCCAATAAGCCGCAGGCATTTACAGCTATCAAGTTTTCAAAGTTAAAAGCGTCATTTGAACTTTGGCATTCCCGTTTGGGCCATGTTTCATTTGCTACTATTTCTCTTTTAAATAAATTGGGTTATGTTTCGGTTACATCCTTATTACCATCACATGTTCTTTGTTCGCCACGTCAACTTGCTAAGGCTCATCGGTTACCTTTTGAATCTAATGACAAACGTGCTTTATATATACTAGACTTAGTCCATTGTGATTTATGGGGACCATCCCCGGTTGATTCGATTGATGGTTATCGTTATTATGCTATTTTTGTGGATGATCACTCTCGATTTACTTGGCCCTATCATCTTAAAAGCAAGTATGGTTTTCATGTGATTTTTGGAGCTTTTATTAAATTTGTTCAAACACAATTATCTACTAAAATTAAAGTTTTTCATAGTGATAGGAGCACCAAATTTTTAAATCAACATGTTCGGAAATTGCTTGAAGATAATGGCACTTTTCATCGTGTTTCTTGCTTGTACACCCCACAACAAAATAGTCGAGCGGAACGTAAGGACCGCCACATTGTTGAAACTGGTATTGCTATGTTATTCCATGGGTACGTTCCGTCGTCTTATTGGGTTCATGCTTTTCGCTCCGCTATTTATATAATAAATCGGCTACCCACACGCCTACTATGTGATAAGTCACCCTTTGAAGTTTTGTTTTGCCGTGCTCCCACTTATGATCACATTCATCCATTCGGATGTCAGGTCCTTATTTACAGGATTATATCGAACACAAATTGTCTCTACGCAGCCTTCCCTGCATCTTTACTGGTTATTGTGTTCAATACAAAGGATATATGTGCCTTGAACCCTCTTCATCATATATTTATGTTACCCGGCATGCCAAGTTTGATGAACTTTCGTTTCTGTTTAGTGGTTCTTCGTCTCGGGCTTCTCTACATGATCTTCAGTTGGTTGAGTTTTTGGATGACGCTTCGTACTCCTCATCACTACCGGTTCTCACTACCGACCCACCTCCATCACCACCCGTTGCTTAGTCACCGCCTGCCTCTCCCACTGGTTGTGTGCTTTGTGATGGTGAGGCTCAACTACCTGTCGCTTCCAGCTCCTCACCAGCTTCTGCTTTCGTTCCAGCGGCTGCGTCTGGTCCTGCATCGCTGGATACTGCCTCACCCGCCACTCCTGTTTCGCCGGTCTCCACCTCATCAGTGACTCCCGTCACGTGAGTCATACCGTAGGTACTTTTACTTTAGATTTATTCATCTTCCCAAATCTTTCAAGCAGGTTTCGAGTATATTTCTCCTGATTAATAAATATCCTTCCCTTCTTTGACGAATATGTAAACCTAGAAAATTATTAATTTTTCCCATCATACTCATTTCAAATTGGATTTTCATAAGTTCCTCAAATTCCTTAGATAATAAAGTGTCAGTCAAACCAAAAATTATGTCATCAACATAAAATTAAACAAGCATCAGGTGATTCCCAACTTTCTTTCGAAATAATGTGGGATCAACTGATATTTGTTTAAATTTAGTAATTTTCAAAAATCGGTCGAGGTTCCCTACCTGGCACGAGGTGCTTGTTTCAATCGATAGACTGCCTTATCTAAAACATAACAATGATTAGGCTACTTATTGTTGACAAAACTAGGTGGTTTTTTTGACATAGACCATCTCTTCTAAAACTCCATTGTGGAATACACACCTGATGTCCATTTAACACACATCGAAATCTCTATGTGTTGCATAAGAAAATTTTGAACTGCCTCGAGTCGTGCAACAGGGGAAATGGTTTCCTCATAATCGATACCTTCTTGCTGAGAATAACCTTTAGCGACTAATCTTGCTTTATTTTGAATTACATTTCCTTGTTTTTTAGTTTTAGTTTTGAAAATCCATTTTAAACCAAATAATGAAACATCTTTTGGTTTAGGAACAAACTTCCAAACATAATTTTGTTCAAATTCAACCAGTTTAGATGCATTGCAACAACCCAATCTGAGTATTCTAATGCAACCTGTACTGTTTTTGGTTCTAGTTTCGAAATGAATGAATTAAACATACATTATTCCTGATGAACATTGAACACTTCATTTTTAGCTCGCATCTGGGTTCGTGTCAAGACCCCAGCTTGTGGATCACCAAGAACATGTTCCTTTGGATGATTGTGTGTCCACTTATCCAATAGTGGATATGTAGGTTCAAAATCTAAACACGCATCTTCGATAACTTCATCCTCTTTTGAAATATTTTCATCGACATCATAAAACTTATTAGTTTTATTATTTAGAATATCAAGATTCAATCTACTTGGCTCCATCTCAACCAATGGATTTGAGTTTTGATGCCCCCTTCTACATCAACATCGTCATTCACATGCTCCCACTCAACTTGAGATGTATTTCGCACAAGCTCCCTCTTCACAGTTGAATCTTGATTATTATCATGTAATTTCGAATTCAAGTGCCCCCCTCCAGTTGATCATGAGTCGAAATCGATACTAGTTCGACATTCACTTGTGAAGTTGATGTAGAATGTGTCATCTAATTCCCATGTAATAGTCAAATCATCTGAATGCTTCGATTCTTTAGGAACATGATTGTCATTAACATGATTTTCAGCATCAATTGCCATATCTGGAATACCAAAAATCAAATCAAAATCAATATCATAAGAATTCATGATTTCAAAATCCTCATTTGTTTTAGAAATGATTAGCTTTTGTACGAAAGAGTGTTCGACTCTTTTGACATAATAGTCTTCGAAAGTAAGCTTGAATGTTTCTCAAGTCTTTCTTGTTCGTTTGTTCAACACCCTATAGGCAACAGAGTTGTGAGAATATCCCAAAAAGATTCCTTCATCGACTTTTGATTGAAATTTAGAAAGATTATCATTGAGATTCATGATGAAACATCTGCACACAAAAACATTAAAGAATTTGACATTAGGCTTTTTTTTGTATATTATTTCTTAAGGTGTGATGTTGAAACGATGATAAATAAAGGAACGATATCTTGTAAAACAGACAGTCGAAGCAGCATAGGCCTAAAGATATCGAGGCAAATTCGCATATCTAAGCATGGTGCGAGTAAGTTTGCATAGTGAATGATTCCTCCTTTCGACAACACCATTTTGTCGTGGTGTGTAAGGAGGCGAAAAGTTATGCGAAATTCCCAAATCAGTTAATAATGAGTTAAGAATTCAATTCTTGAATTCTGAGCCATTGTGACTCTTAATTCTTTGAACTTTATTCTTCAAAATCAGGTCGATGTTTTTGATGAAATTAATCATCACTTGAGTAGTTTCAGACTTCTATCGAAGAAAGAAAACCCAAGTAAACCTTGAAAAATCATCAGCAATGACCAATATATACTTCTTCAAATTGAGAGACCCAACAATTGAAGGTCCACATAGGTCAATGTGAAGAAGTTCCGATGGTTCAATAATTTTGGAATCGATGACAATTGGGTGGCCTTGTCTATGTTGCTTTCGTTGTTAACAAGCAGCACACAACGAATATGTAACATCCCAAAATACGACCCAAAAATTTTTGTTTTAATAATAATAAAAATCATATACTGAAAGTCATATCATAAAACCATATGTCAAATATCTCAAACCATAATAAAATGTCGTGATACAACTATATCAAATCAAAGTAAGTATCAAAAGAAACTCCCAAGACAAAAACTGAAGCTGTGGTGTGTGCGATGCCATCATCCCGAGCTCTTCCCGTTACTTGCGGAAGTACCTGAAACCAAAACTGAAACTGTAACCACGAAGCTTAGTGAGCTCCCCCAAACTACCACATACCATAAAATACATATAAATCACATACTGGGCCTTGCCCACTGCATTAGACCGAAGTTCGGAAACTGCATCGGACCGAAGTCCAGAACTGACTGGTATCTTGTCCCCTGCATCGGACCGGAGTCTGGAACTAGCTGCATTGGACCGAAGTCCGGAACTGACTGCATGGCGATCGAAGTCCGGAACTAATGGCATCGGACCAAAGTCCGGAACTGACTGATCATAGCATAGCATAAACACATATCAACTAGCATAACACATATCATCTAGCATAAACACATATACTGCATACTACATCAGACCGTAGCCCGGAACACATAACAGATAAATCTTGTATGAGCCACGAAGGCATTAAACACACTATCTACTGCATCGGACCGAAGTCCGGAAAACTACTGCTAGCTAATCGCGCCGACATTGTGGCCGTAGACCCGTTCCTACTGGAAGGAAACTCACCTCGTAATCTGGCTGCTGAATGAACTGCTCGGGAATTGTCTGCTGCTGCTCTGGTATCTCCCCGACTACAATTTCCATAAGAACACTCAATCAATCACTGATAACTATACTGAGGGTAAAATCACTATTTTACCCCTGGTCAAAGTCAACATACATTTGACCTGACTCGTCGAGTTGGGTCACCAACTCGTCAGGTCCTTACTCTCACTTTCTTGCTTCTGCTCGCTACTACTCGTCGAGTTTGGCATAGACTCGACGAGTTCCTCTTCGATACTAACTCCCAGTCAATCTGCATCTGACTCGCCGAGTTGTATGAACAACTCGTCGAGTCCTCCTTCAACACAAGAACACTCTAGCTGTGACTCGCCGAGTTGTATGAACAAATCGTCGAGTCTGTTGTTGAGGTATGAAGATTGCCTTGGACTCGCCGAGTCAGGGCATTGACTCGCCGAGTCCCTCCATGAATGAGTCCGATCTCTGACTCATTGAGTCCACCTATAAATCACTGGTTCCACTCGGCATGACACATAAAAGGGGAAGAAATCGGGAACTCGCGACTCGACTCGCCGAGTCTGAAGAACAACTCGCCAAGTTGGTTGCATGCAACACTACTCCGATGATTCTGCTCAAATCTAATGCATACAACCTGAATGTCCTTTAAGGGTACGACTGGAAGATCCAACCGATAAGCGACCCGACCTACCCGGGCCAAAACCTTAAAAGGACCAATGAACCTGGGGCCCAGCTTGCCCTTCTTCCGAAACCTGATGACACCTTTCCAGGGTGATACCTTCAGGAGGACCATGTTGCCCACTTGAAATTCCAAGTCTGAATTCCTCCTGTCGGCGTAACTCTTTTGCCGACTCTACGCAGTTTGCAGTTTACTACGAACCTGCTGGATCAACTCTGTCGTCTTGAGCACCACTTCGGTGCTCCCAATGACGCGCTGACCGACCTTGCCCCAACAAATCGGGGTCCTGCACTTCCTCCCATAAAGCATCTCGAAGGGAGGGCGGTCAATACCCGCATGATAATTGTTGTTATACGAAAATTCCGTTAATGGAAGATACGTATCCCAACTGCCACTGAAATCTAGGACGTATGCCCGGAGCATGTCCTCAAGAGTCTGAATCATCCTCTTGCTTTGCCCATCCATCTGAGGGTGGAAAGCGGTGCTGAAATGGAGACGAGTACCAATCTCATCGTGAAACCGCTTCCAGAATCTGGAAGTAAAACGAACATCTCTGTCTGACACCACTGATACAGGCACTCCATGCCATGCCATAACCTCTCGCACATATATATCCGGTAGCTTCTCAGCCGATATGCTGTCACACCCCGAAAACCGAAGGCGGAAACATTTTCGGGGTTGACGCCACGTTGAGTATCAATTCCAATGCACATAGTAAGTAAAGTAAAACAACCATTACATTACATATTAAAAGTTTTACAATTGTTTCAAAAGTAAAGTTATACATGTGATACATGGTATAGATAACAACACGAAACTGGTCTTCTGCGCACTCTATCCTGGAACAAAATGATCTTCGGGTACCTGTTCTAACGCTGACTTGAGAATACAAGCGGTTTGAAAATCAGCATAACGCTGGTGAGTTCATAAGCGGTTTTTGTTTGTGTAAATGTTCAAGTTTCCTTTCTGTTTCTGAAATTGTTACACACACCAAGAAAATCCCATATTTTCTTAAAAAGGTTGGTTACTGTTTCTCAACACGTAAAGTAAAGTTAAGTTGTACACTGAAACACATTTACTCTTGTGAGATGTACAGTTAGGTTATCTAGTTTTTTATACTGTTCTGGTTATGCACAAATGTATTCCAAGGAAAGTCCCATACTTTCCTGAATGTTGGTTACCAAATGTGAAAGTGTATACTGAAAACCATGTTACCATTACGAAATGTAAAGTTATCCGGTTTGTTACACTTTTCTAGTTATGTACTATGTTCCTCAGGAAAGTCCCATACTTTCCTGAATGTTGGTTATCAAATGTAAAAGATGTATTATGTAAAACATGGTTATGTACAATGTTTCCCCAGGAAAGCCCCATACTTCCTTGAATGTTAGTTACCAATGTGAAAGATGTATACTAAAAACCTGGTTATCTTGTAAAGTGTATTACCTTATTAATTATTACTATTTAGTAAATCCCTGTTATCCTAATTGCGAGTTCCATAACCATACGATAGACTAGATATGGCAATAAGTAGTCCACATCACCTTATAACTTTCATCACCCTTGAACCATTTCGGTTCGGCTGTAGCTAGCAGCCAGGTGTGGGGTAGTTATCCCCATATAGATCTATACACTCAAGTCACGCTCCCTATCTAAGAGATTTTGGTTACGGCTGCAGTCCTCCACTCACGTATCTATGTGGAGTGTTCGCCGAGGACGTGTCTCCAATCATACAAGACTAACAAATTTGCTAGTAATAATACGATAATCCTCCACTCACGTATCTCTGTGGAGTGTTACCGAGGACAAAACAGTGTACAAGTTTTATGTTTCAAAGGTTCTAATCTCATGTTTTTAACTGATAATATGTGGAAACCCATTTGTGAAGTAAACAAAACATAACAGTTTACAACCCATTTCACAAATATATGTTTACGTGATTTGCATGTTCAAACGGTTATCCGTTATAACAATCAGTGTAAAAAGCACATTGGATATGAAACACACACATGAAAAACAAGTTTTGAGTACAAGAAATCCCTTGTACTTTGCTTGTATTCCCCCTGAAAACAGTGAAAAAGGGTAGGGGTATGAACTCACCGGACGAGGAAATACGACGATTTCGGATGCTAAACGTTGGTTTGGGGCTTGATTACTCGCGATGTTCCTATGTAAATGGAATAATGTCCAAATATATCTAATTAGATTCACAAATACTAATTAGATGGAACATTACACTTGATTGAGTTAAAACACTTCAAAATGAGTGTTTGGAGTGACCCGGGTGACATCTACGAACTTGTAATGATACGAGGGACTTGGGATTTGAGTTTACTGCCCTATAAAATATACACACATGAGTTCACGGCCGTGAACTCATGGTTGGGGGTTTATGATGCTAAATTGATCAATAACACTTGAGGGATGTTTGGTATGAATTTATCTAAGGCATGGAAGTAAATTAAATCACCAAATGACATTATTTAAGGGAGTTTACGGCCCTAGCATGGAGCTTACAGCTGTAAACTCTTATGCTCTCCTTGAATGAGTGATTTAATGTCCCAAGATTAATCACATGTGATTCCAATAATTTTTACAAGGCTTGGGGGTGAGTTTAGGGCATCAAATGACACCTAATTAGGAGTTTACGGCCCTGGAGCATACGCTATGGCGTTAAACTCTCAAATGAAGGATGTTTGACATGTTTAAGGTCCCCAAATTATTTTTAGACGGTTCTAGGATTTATTCCAAGGCTTTTGGTGATGTTGGATGGCTTTCTAACATGTTTGAAGTGAATTTACTCCCATGTTTGAGGTGTTTACGGCCCAAGCACATACCTTGGCCGTAAACTCTTATTTGTCCCTCAAAATTCATGTCTAGGGTGTTCTAAGTCCGGGTTTGTAAGCCATAAGGTCATATCTAAGTCTCAATGTTGGTTTGGAAGGGTTAAATTGCATAAAAACCCCAATATTATGTGTTTACGGCCCAAGCATGCTCCTTGGCCGTAAACACATGTTCCAGGTCCAAAATCATAATTTAAACACGGATTTGAAGACCTAGGAGGTTGAATAACAAGTTAGGGAGGTTACCTCTATGATTTGGGGCCTTAAATCTTTGTTTTTGGACCTCAATCTTGGATGAGGAGAGAGGTTAGAGAGAGAGAGAGAGTAGTGAGAGAGAGCCAAAAGCTTCAAATGGGAGCTTAAGTCACTTTATATAGTGATCGATATCGGCGTTAGATGGGGTTTTTGGTCGCACCTGGCCAAGTTGTCGTAACCCGATATGGTTGATTCTAGAAATGTTCCGGTCACTAATATGGGGTGTTAGAATGATTTCTAAATGCATTAGGACACCCATTAAGTCATTTTAGATAAATACAAATTAATGACTTAATTAAACGATGAAATCGGAATCGGATTTGAAAACGATGATTGGTTGATCGAATTGGATTACGAAAAGAGTTACAAGCGATGACACAGAATTTCGGGTTGTTACATATGCTCTCCTAGATTGGTATAAAATAAGCACTCTTCATTAACCGATCCACTATAAACCATATATAATCCACTCTACGTGCGTTCCTGGGAAGATTAGTGATAAAATCCATAGTGATATCCTCCCATTTCCGATCTGGAATGTCCAACGGTTGCATCTTGCCATGAGGCCTCTAGTGCTCTGCCTTAATCTTCCTGCATGTCAGGCATCTCTCCACATACCAGACAACATCCCGCTTCATGCAAGGCCACCAATAGTCGGGTCGAAGATCCCTATACATCTTCGTTGCCCCTGGATGGATGAAAAATCGAGACTTATGAGCCTCATCCATCAACACCTGTCGTACTCCGCCCCAGTATGATACCCATACTCTCCATGAAGGGTCAACAGTCATCGGCTGTCGTATCAAAGGAAGCTACTCGGCCCACAAACCTTTCACACTTCTGCCTCTCCTCCTTGAGGCCCTCGGCCTACGCGTCTTTGATTTGCTCCAACAATGGAGTAATCATTGTCATCCTCAAACAAATATCCCTGATCGTGGCCGCTGTTGCCTTGTGGCTCAGGGCGTCGGCCACTACGTTGGCCTTCTCTT